AGCAGCCTTCTCTAGATCCCAGCCAGCTAGCTCACCCGCTGAGGAGAACCTTCAACTGACTCTTGGCATCAGGCTACGCATGGGGGGCTCAGTCCCTACCTGCTGCGCTTGAGGGGTCACAGCCTCTGCAATATCCCAGGCCTGCTCAGGCGGCCTGGTGCATGGGGGTAGCAGATGGAAAGCTCTGAACTGGGCCACAGGATCAAAGAAATGGCCCTCTGGAGGTCTCTAACCCAGCTCCCACTCGGAGCAGGACCATTGCCAGCACTATGGCTCTGCCCAGCTGAGCTTGGGAACACCAAGAGTGGAGCTCTGACCTGGATCTCCCTGCTGACCTGAGCGAGGGCTGCACAGGTCTCCTGGGGATGAAGTGTTTTCCCCAACATCCAGCTTGAACGTCCAAAGACGCACTCTGGGGCTACTGCCTCTGGCTTTTGCCCCCTCCATGGAGCACGAGGTTCAGAGACATCAAGCCCTGCAAGCTGTGACACACAAGTCTTGGTTCTGCCTCCTCGTACGCAGGCGCTGAAGGAAGAGGTCCGTTACACGGGCTGGCCCCAATCTGCTCAGCAGAAGGGTTTTGCCCAGAGCTGCCTTTGATTTGGGAGAGGTCAGGACAAAGAGGGCTCTGTTGGCCAGATCAGGAGGGCTGTGGGCAGCAGCTGAGCTGGGGTCAACACCATTTCACCATCCTGCTGGCAGGTGTACGAGGTAAAAGCAGAGCTGGGGCGCCTGGGGAGCACCACTCCCTGTGCCATCACCACACAGCGATCAGCCTTGGAGCCATTTGCTCTGCCACTGCCTCTGCTTGACCAAAGCCCAACAGGAACCCAAGGCTGGGGATGGTGAGACGATGAGCATCCTGCAGTTTGAAGGGTTGGAGACTGTCCACAGAGGCGGAAAAGCTTGCTTTCTCCTAGACGCGGTGTCTTTTCCCAAGGGAGGAATGAAGGAAAGACAAGATTTCCCCCAGGTTGGCATCCCCATCTTTGCTCGGTCCCTTTCGGAACAGGCAAAAGCGTCTTGGCAACAGGCGACACCACATGGAGTCGCCATCCACTCTCCTGGGATGCTCCAAGACACGCTGCTGACACACGTGCACACATCAACCAGACAACACGGGCAACACAGACAGCTTTTTATTCCCAAGGGACACCGTGTCCAAAGGGCTGGACGAGGGCAAGGTAACTCGGCCTCTCCCCTCGCCCGCGGCTATCGGCTGTCTAGGTCCCCCAGGAGTGAGGGCTAGAGCTGGAGCCGCACAGGAGCTGCTGCTCCTACGCTGGAAGGACAGGGCTTCCTTCGTGTTTAGAGCTGTATCCCTTACAAATAAAAAGCCAAGGGCATGGACACACAGAACACGCACAGAGACAGAGACATGCTGAGGCAGCAAGAGCAGAGCACGAGACACAAGAGCTGAAAGCCTGGCACAGACTCACCTGGGCTCCGCAGGATAGTCCAGCGCTTCAGGACTGAGGCGCAGGAAGAAAGGGGAGCGTGCGATAAGCGCGGGGCAGCGGAGGAGACCCTTCCTTCCCACCCCGCTCGCAGACAGGGACAGCCCCGCTCAGCAGCGACAGCTCTTCACCCTACGCAATGCCCGAGCCGAGAAAACTGCCCCAGCACGAGCAGGGAGCCTCAACCACCATCCTTGGGGCTGAGCCTCCTCAAGCCAGTGAGGCAAGTTGTTGCTTAGCCAGGGTGAGCACAGTAACGCCAATGAGTGAAGACAGCCCTGTCCCAGCAGCGCAGGGACTCTGCAACGCTCTCCCAGGTCAAGTGTTCCTGCTCGTGACCCACGCTGCCCCGCTGGGATGTGTATGTCCAGCAAAGGGCCACCCGCGCTGGGACAGAGGGCAGCGCTGCTGGGGGAAAGGAGGTTTTGGTACGCGGCCCTGCCAGAGCACCTTTTCCTGGGCAGACCTGCGGGCAGGTCTCAGGCTGGTTCTTTGGGGCGCTGCAGAAGGGGCTCCCATCTAGGCAGGTCGCTGAAGCGACGCGTAAGGCTTCTGAGTCAGCCTTGGGGCACTTGGGCAGCGGGGCGTGCAGGAGAAGGGGAAACCCAGGGCTCCAGCTGTCCTGCTGGCACTGCCTGCCAGCGTTAGGGGCTACAGGCCCGGCATTACAACCAGCTCTAACTAGAGGTATATATAAAAATATACATTCAAACCTCCCCCTCGAAAAATGTACGGGCATGTCATGGCCAGCAGAGCCCAGAGAAGCAATTGTTAGTCCTGCCCAATGCACACCCCAGCGTCTGCGCGAAGGCAGAAGAAACTACTTTTTATGGGCAGCCCAATGGCTCCTTCAGCCCTGGCAGGGCTAGCGAGCGCTGCTGCCAAATCCCAGCAGAGGGATCTGGGGAGAAGTGCTAAGCTCCCTTGCAGGATGGGGCATGCACAGCCAAAATAGGCTGGCTCAGGCGCGGAGGCGGCTGGGAACGGTGACCTTCCCTTTGCAGAGCACTGGGAGAGGCAGGGGACGAAGGTGGCAGCTTTCTGCTCCATGCGGCTCGTGTCCGCGCAGAGGGACAGCTGGACACTCTGCCACGTGGCAGACTTGTCGTGCAGGCAACTACATGCCTCTCATTGCTGTAGGACACTCTCTAGCTTAGGAGGATGCTTGGCTCTTAGAAAGCCCTTTCCAAAACACCGGAGCAACCCCCAAACTGTTGGGAACGTGCAGCTGACGGGCTCTGCGGCTCCCCATGCACGCATGCACGCAACTCAGCTTCCCGAGCCTCTGTCTGACCCCAGCTTGCAGAAAATGAGGTGAGATGGGGATGTGACAGGCAGGGATTACTCAAACTCTCCCCCACATAGCGGGGAACACAGCTGCACGAAGCAGCGCTTCTCTTCCACTCCTGCCACTCACGAAGACGGACAGAAGCAAAGCAACAGCCCGCTCCAGGGAAGAAGCCCTGCTCCCCACCTGCCTACCCAGGCCCTTCTTCTGCCCTTCTGGCTGCACTGCACGTTGTGAGGGACTGCCCAGGCCACGCACCCCTGGACTGGGGAACATTCTCCTAGAACCCAGCCTCGCCTCCTTGCTACGGCTCATGCTGGAAAAACCAGGGCAGGATTAGCACTCCTCACTTCCATCTCCAACACTTTTGCTGCTGATGGAAGAGGTTAAGTCACAGGAACTTTCCTCCTCTATGCTCATCTGCTTAAACTAAGGCTAAGTTGCTGGGACAAGGTCTGACTACAGCAGAGGCAGGCAGAGCAGCTCCTGCTGCGTCTTGGCCCCTGCCAGAGCTGCAGGCAGTACCTGTGTGCTCCTCGCCCTGAAATGGGAACGCCTGCCCATGGCAGACCCCTGGGAGAGCGCCCGTATTCCTCCTCCCACACCTGCCCTGAGCTCCCCCGGTCCCAGTGGCAATGGGAGATGTGGTGGAGGGCAGATGGCTGCAGGGAGGACTGTACTTACGCGGGGATCTCATTGGTCAGGTGGCTTGAAAACAAAGAAACAAGGACGTTGAGAAGAGATGGACAGACAGAGACCGACAAACAACAGCTCAACACAAGACACCCTCCCCGGGCAGGGTGTTAGGGCAGCGGGGAGTCTGAGGGTGCAAGAGGCAGATGGACGGAACCTCCCAGTGCCGTAGAACTGGGAATTAACCACCGGGGCTGTAGGAGCGCAGTGCTGAGGAAGGGCATCGAGCCGGACTGCAGCAGACCAAGAGTCTCCTGTAGGAGAAACACCCAGCCCAGAGGCTGAAGAGGACCCCAGTCAGCAGCTGCGCAGCAGGCTCTGCTTATCTTGAGAGAGAAACCCCAGGGACCAGTACAGCCACAGAGACCACAAGGTCCCAACACGTACCCCTAGCCCATGGGGTCAGGGTCGAGCAGACGCTGGAGAAGGCTAGCCAGACCCCGCAGCAGCGACAGCCCGTCCCTGCTGGCAGAACCGACTCTTGCTGCACAAACAGCCAGGCAGACAAAGGAGCTGGCAGGCAGGCGTGAATTAAACCACAGGCAGAGCTAGCTCTCCCCTCAGCACAGCCCACAGCCCGTTCCTGAGCACGGGGGCAAAAGAAAGGCACCAACCAGGAGCAAGGCACAGGCCACATTAACCATCTTCACGGGGTGCACTCCGTCAGCTTCATCCCACTCCCAAACGAGACTGTGCTAACCCAGAAGGTGGCCCACACGCTGCAGAACCACAGCATCCAGACCTGAAGCTGGCCAGGCACTGCTGCTGTGGGGAAAGCCCTCTGCCCACAAGGCAGCTTTAGAGATGAGGGCTGGAAGCGACTGCTCACGGCCCCAGTTTGGCTTGTCCCTCTTGGAGCACTGCGCTTGGACTTCTTCGACCCTAGCTCTTCCTCCTCCTAACAGCCCTAACTCCTTGTTCTGACCTTGGTTCAGCTCAGCAGCCAAGTTACCTCTTTGTCACGGCATTGTGGTACTCCATATATGTCCTACCATCAAAAGCAATGGCCTCTGCATCTCCAGCAGCCTTCTCAATGATCACTGGAGGTGGGAAAAAGAAGAGCTGTCAGGCAACGTAGCACGGCCCCTCCGTCCTTGGAGACGAGGAAAATCCCCCTTTACACTGAGCATTCCTAACAGGACGAAGGCATGCACAAACCTGCCATCCCCTGGGGCACGTCAGCACTGTGGCAGTCTAAGCAACTCCCTGGAAAGGTTTGCTACGGCTTCAGAGCCCGTGAGTTTGGACCATCTCCCTGTTTTGCAGCCAACTATCATGAAATCTGCAGCCTTGTTGGCTTCCTGCGGAGGAACCTGGGTTTGGTGATGGCCCAAGCGCTAAACTCGGGGAGGCAGTATGAAAGAAACCCTGATCTGGAGACAACTAGGCATTGCTCAGGCCCCCCCAGGGGAATCTGCCCCAGCACCAAACCACGTTTCCCTGCCCCAGGCTGCCTGAAGTGAGCAACAACAGGATCAGAGGGCGCTGACAGGAGGCGGCGACAGGGCTGGGCGACCTACCCGCGGGCAACAGCATTTGCCCCGCCGCACGCAGCGCAACGCCTGCATTTCTGAGAAACGGCACAGCCCCGACTTCAAAACAGCTCCAAACCCCTGCCAGCCTGCAAGTGCCACCGCTTGTTTCCCCGGGATCCCTCCCAGCAGCCAGAACAAGGACAAGACCTTGGCGTAAGCGGCGCACTGTCCTGCTGCCACCGGCTAATCATCGAGGCAGCTTCATTGCCGCGGCTGGCTAGTGGGTGAGGGTCCACGTCCAGCCCTACCCTGGCAGTCTCACCTTTCTCACAGTGAGCCCCGGAGAAGCCCCTCTGGCAGGCACACTCGTAGCTCTCTAGCCGGGGGCTGCAAGTGCCTCCGTTCTGGCAAGGATTGGGTTTCTGGGTACAGGGGTGGCCTCGGAAGGGGGAGATCTCAATGGCGCTGCGGATGTTCTGCTCCTTCAGCACAGGCACCCCCTTGACGGAGATCTAGCAGATACAAGCAGCGGGAAGCACAAGAGTCAGCCTTCACTGCCCCACTTCTCCGTGGGGCTGGTGGGGGCACACAGACCAGTATCCTGGTGGGGAAGGAGGAGCTGGGAATCCAGTCCCAAGCCCCACGTGTTCCTGTGACGCACGCCCACCTCCCCTTCTGCCACCCACCATTGCCACTTTTCAACTGGGTGTGCCCCCCGCCATGCACACGGACCCACACGCTGGGGCAACCCGCTCCCAGGCTCGGCCTTGCCCTCCTCCAGCGATGCCAGCACAGACGGCACATCTCCCAGTCAGGCACCTGGCTGCCCGATAAGGCCTTACCCTTTGCACAGCTCCATCGAAGCTGGTGGAGATGGCAGCTGCTCGAGCTAGCTTGCTGAAATCAGGGGCTCCCCCCACATAAAACGGCTCCTTCAAGTTCAGGAAGGTGTGAGGCACCTGGGGAGGAGAGGGGAGAAGGTGAGATGGTGAAGAAGTCAGGCTAGCCCTAAGCTGGACGCCGGGCACTTGGCCCAGCTCTGTGGAGACTAGAGGAGGCTGCAAGCAGGGCAGTGCTGCAGGCGGAGCAGGCACCCGTGCGCAACCAGAAGCCAGGCTGGTGGGAAAAAAAAAGCAACACCCGCCTGTTCCCTGGGCTCTCCCACTCCCTGCCCTCCTCCCTTCGAGGCACGGGCCGTGTCCTGGGGCAAGGCTGGTGCGGGGCACCGCTGGCCACTTTCCCCCCGGAGGCTGGAGCAGGAGAGCCCCTCGGAAAGCATGCCAGGACCCAGCACAAGCGAGCAGGACAGCCCTGCCCTAGAGCAGGCAGGCAGGAGGTGGGCTGGGCAGGGAAAGGTGGGCTGAGCCCAGCATCCCACTTGGGTCCCCACCTTCTTCTCCATTCCCTGTCCTGCTCCTGCCCCAGCCTGGCCACCCCGAACACCCTGCAGCCCTCTGCCTCCCTGCCTTGCCACCGGGGACCCGCAGCCGGCCACCGGCCATGGCGTTGCCCGGGTGAGCCCCCGCTGAGCACAGGGAGCAGATGAGCTCCGTGTTTCTGGCAGCAAACCAGGCTGTGTCAAGGGCGCTGGGAGAAAGGGGCCTCCAGCGAACCTCCTCGTGCCAAGCTGCCAGCAGGCACCCAAGGAAAAGATTTCCTGTGGATTTAATTTTGGGGAGATGCTGTTCTAACGCTCTCAGGCGTGGAGGTCTCCCATTTTGTGTGGCCCCCAAAACCAAGTAAACAACTAGAGCTTCAGTCTCGCCAGGGCTAACGTTTAAACCCAAACGCATACCAGAAGGGTTCAGCTTGGGTTTATCCGGCTGCTACAGGTCCCCTACAGCAAATGGCTAGAGGAGGTTCTGCTGCACCCCATGTGGCTGTGTTTTTGGAGGAGAAAGACCCCCTCCTTGCCGTCACCCTGCAGCCCCAGCTGCACAGCACGGAAAGTCTCCGGTAAGTCTTTAGCCACATGGTTCACCGGGCACACAACGGGAGCGATGTCCCTTCCTGAGCCCCTGGGACAGACCCAGAGGCACAGCAGTGAGGCAAAGATGCAGTTATATGAATCACTAGCTAATGCTTTGTGGAGTTAACACAAGAAACATGACCGGATTAATTGAAATGCTGCCGAAACAAGATGTAACAACTGGCTGGAAATTAATGATGGGAAGAGGAAACAAGTGTCTCTAATCTATAGAGATCCTAAAGCTGCTTGGTCAGATGGGGAGCGGGTGGAACACTGAGATCTGAATGGAAAACAAAAAAGAACAACGTGCCAATGGCAGATGAGATGGAGGTGCAGTGGGTCATACTTATCTTTACCTTACGGGATTTCTGGGATCCAGACAGCAGGGGAGGGAAAAATACAAATGAAAATCAAAGGCAGAGAGAGAAAGAGAGAGAGAAAAGGGAGATCAGTGGGTAACATCACAACATGCAAGGCTGCAAGATCACCGCTGCAACCAGTGCCTGGGGTAGCCAGGGAAGGGGAGCTGCAGAAGGCAAGAGGAGGGGCCGCTGCCACCCACGGGTAACCTTCGCTGGGAGGGAAGCCTGAAAGGACGAGAGCGAGGGGAGGAAGAAATCCCTTCT